TCGCTTTTGGCTCACGGGAGGACATATTTTTAAAGCATTCCTTTTTTCCGAGACCGAAAAAATTCATAAAATGGTAAAACACACACACTCCAAAAAAAGCAAAGAAAAAGTAATCAAAAAGGAAAGGGGGCAACTTTTTACTGCTCTTGGCAAATTTGAACACAACATTGTGACTTTTTAGCCTTTGCGGTTTTCCGATGTGGCAGTAAGTGAGTTTTGATTTCATTATGGCGTTCATTTGTGACCATGTTTTACATCGATTTTTATGATTGCATTGGCTGCTGGTTTAATGAGGGTTTTCGGTTTCATTATCGATGGTGCAGTGGTGGAAATATATTTCAATAGCTTTTCCGGGAATTGAAAACTAATTTAATTATGGAATAATCAATGTTTTTCCTAATTGGATGGTGATTTATGCAATATTGAGGGGATTTAGGATACATTTGAGTGATAAATCCCCAATCGTGCTTAAACTGAAAGGCAATGCGGTATTTAAAAAGGGTGAACCAAACTACCTTTTCAGTTTTAAACCGTTTAAACTACAATGTACAATGAAAATGATGGCACTCACATAAGTGGCTCTGAGTGTGATCAAAAGATTTTATCGGAGAAGTAATCAAACGCCTTTCTGCACTTACCCATAAATCCCAGCACCTGAGTGAAAAGTGATAGGAACCTAGGCCCAATCTTACTGTATCCTTGAGCTCCTTGAGCTGCGGCTGCATTGTGTAAAATTAATTGCCGAAAATTCGTCTTGAAATTGTCGACGATCATGTACATACAGTGTAGGCTGCACTTTGGAATCGATGCCTTTGTCCTGTTTTAAGGTGGATTGGAGAAACGAACGAGAAACCAAAATAATTAATTTTATCTAATCCATTTTGTTTACTACCCAAGTAAGGAAAAGATAACACCAGTTTGCTAAATAAAATTGTGAAAATGCTAATTAAGAGTTTTTTTGATTATTTATTTTTATAAAAGGATAGGTTATAAGGTAATTTATAAGATACATATGGGTTTTTTACCACTACAACATTAAATGATAAGCAGACATTTTTATATAAACAAAGAATTAAAGTTGCTGGCCAAAGGAATCGACTTTCTGATTCGTGTGTAATTAAAGGCATTATAAGTTGGCGAAGCGGAAATGCCAGACAGCGATTTTGTAATTGCGTGTGTGTATGTATGGGTGTGAGGCAGCCACACAAAAGACACAACCATAAATAGAATCCGATTCCAGAACATAAGCTACCAGCAATAATCCAAACAACCGAATAAAATTCCCCCTTTCCTTTGCGTTCCTCGTTCCTTGGGAGACGCGAATTTGACTTTGCCCAGCAACAAAGTCATCAAAACAATGATTGCAATACATATTTGGGGCAACACAATTTCGCCACCATTTTTGGTAAAAGGATGAAGGAAGGAAGGACGAAGGACGAGCTGAATAGAGCAGCGAACTCAAGTCGAAATGCCACAAAATACAAAACCCGAAACGTGGGAGACAAACACGCATTTCGGTTCATTAACCAAACCCAACAAAAGGAGGAAAAAGGACGAGATAGTCGAGGAATGGAATGGGAAAAACACTAGTAGCTAACGGAAACAAAATTACCAGCGAGCAAATAAAATGTCGTCGAGGGTTTGACGCAGCCTTCAACTCCAGTGATAAGCTGAAAGCTGAAAGGGGGGCTGCAAAGGGGGTTGCGGAGGGCAAGGACCTCCCCGAAGGATGAGCTCCTACGGTCGCTGAGTATTGTGTGCAGCTTGCAACGTTTCTTTTTTCTCTTTTTATTAGTTCCGCGCTTATCCACCATTTTGGCAGTCGTTATTCGGCTGATTACGGACGAGGACACGCTGCATCCACAACTGCGGATGTGCTATATATTTACTACAATACAACATCTGAACATCTGCAAAATGGAGAAGGAGCTATGGCTGTTGCGCTGATGTCCTGTAACCTCCTTTCTACATTTTTACAACGCTCGCACAACAAAGTTTTGCCGGCAATCGAAGGTGTGGAAGTCGCAGATTGCCAACTGAAACTAAATCTCAACACTGGTAAAAAAAATGAGCTGAAATATTTTAAATTATTTAGAAATAATCAACTTACCTTAAAGTTTGTTTTAGTATATTGTTGCTTAATTTAAAATTGGTTTTAAGATGAAAATAAATATATGTTAGGAAATAATAAGAATTTAACTAACAATATAGATTTTACTTAATTCCTACCTTGTTTTTTTATTTCATTGAAAATAAATTAATTTGGTTATTTACCTCTGGGATATTGTGTACAATTTTAAAAATTTTTTTTTTTTAACTTAAATAATTAGTATAGTTTAAATATATCTAATGGCTTTTGTTATAAATATAATTATTCTTTTTTTGTAGAATTAATAAGAATTTATAAAAGCTAATCTTTGGTGAATAAATAACTTAAAATATTATTTTCACTTAAACTAATCCTCAAGCAACCTTTACTTAATCGTCTTTAAACCTTTAGGAATATTTCCCTTTTCTTGCAGTTCACTTTATGGTGTTGCACAGTGCTTTGTATCCGTGACTCCATCTGTGAATCCCTATCTCCATTTGTATCTCTTGGTTCAACTGTGGGTCATTAGTGCTACGCTGGAGCTGCGTAGTTTTGCTCCGGTTTGCTATTGCTCCGCTGCTTTCTTGTTCATTTTCTCATTAGTGAGTCAATACACGCAGCACGTTTTGTCCCCACATTGTTACTTCGGACACTTTCGCCAGGGGATGGCATCCTTTTTCGTATGGTATCCTTTTGGGGCGGCAGGACACGGAGAAAATAAGGAAAAATGCGAGGCACACATGCAGCTGGCTTCCCCGGAGAGTTGTTTAAGATGCGTTGCATCGCACTTTCGCACTTTGCTGACTGCAACTCTTGCAGCTGTCTATCCATCTTGGCCATATCCCTTTTTTCCCACCGACTGACTGACTGACATACTTACCCTCTAGAACCTCTGGAACCTCCTGAGGGGGAAAGGGGCAAAGGGTTGGAAGGACCATGATCCGAAAATGTAAAGTGTAAACTTTTTGCCAGTTGTTTGCTGAACTGGCACTGCACTTTGTCTTCTTGCTTGGCTGGCTGGCCATCAGCCATCAAGTGTGGCAACTCATGGCATTTCCAGTCCTTAAAAACGAAACCCAACCAAACACCCCCTGAAAGACCGCAAATCCGCAAAGATTCCCTTAGTGCCCGCCTGAGCTGAAATTTAAATAAGACCAAGTCATCGTCGAGAGTTCTTTTTCCTTCTTAGTTGTCGCTTTTTAATCTCTTTTGCGTAGCTTGTATATGGTAGTTACAGTATGGTACACTCAATATATAAATCTAAGTTCTGCAGTTTGCAGTTTGCAGCTTAGCCTAAGATGCGTGGCAATCAATTGAGTTTGTCTTTCTGGGTTCTTCTTGTTTTTAATGCCAATCTTGCTCGGGGAGCTTAAGGATAATGCTTAAGGATAATGCATTTACATGTACACTTAGGACTAGATATGCATGCACACACCGATACACAGATACACAGACACAACGAGGACTCTATGAGCTATATGTATATGTATTTGTATGTCACTTATGCGCTACCATATTCAATATTAATAATTGCCATTTGTTTGCTTTTTCCCGCTGCCAACGACTTTCCATCATTTTCTATTTCGCTTTGTTTGTTTTGAAAACAATGAATGAGCAACATTTTTCCATTTTCCATTCCACCCACTAAACTGACGTCTCGCCATTGTTATTAGTTTTCCTCAACGGTTTTTTCTCCGGCCCCAAAATCCCATTCTTATCCTTCATTTCCGACCTTGTAAGAGGGGGTTTAGGGAAATCAATCCTAATTGCACACATTAATTATTGCAAAATCGGAATCGGATGAGCTTAGCCATCATAAGCACACATGTAATGGAATGGGAGGGGCAAAACCCTTTGAAGGATTAATTCATTAAGCTGCCCCAATCGATTCTCTAGCCATCGGCTGGTTGAAGAAGCACATTTAACATTCACTCTATGCGTATTGCTATTTCTATTTCAAAGAACCTAATGAATGGGATGGGCAGATAATTATCCAAACAATTTGCAAGTGCTCCTTCTGTGATTTTGTACTTGAGTCTCAAAATACGGAACTGGTCTTGAAGCCTCTTGTTGCCTGATTGTTCGAGTCCTTACTGTATAAATTCATATTGCACCCGTAGAGTTAATTTCAGAGTTAATAATTAATAACAAACAAGTATCGAGTAACAGAGGATTAGATATTAGAGGATTCGAAGTCGAAGTTAAGCTATATACAGTTTAGCATAGTATTTGGGCTTCAGAGATAAAGAGAGAGAGAGAGAGAGTCAGGTACTTGGACAGGTTGAAGACGTAGCTTTCAATTGAGACATTTACAGAACAAAACCGAATACATCTACATAATGGAAGATCTAAGATATGACAGCTAACAGTAACACTAATTCCCACTATGCAACCACCGCCAGCGACTGAAGCCCAGTAGTAATTAGGGGCGATGTAGAAGGGGTTCCTTGTTGCATAGTGTTCTATCACCGATCGATAAGCTAATGAGTGACTAGGCGAGACTAGATTGCTATGTACACACTTGGGATGGGTCAACTTGTGTGGATTTATAGGGAGCTGAAAAAATCAATGCACGTTTCTAAGCCATTTTGATTGGAACTTATTGTTGGTAAGGTAATAATATTGATTTTTATAATATAGAAAAAAATACTGGTTATAAACAGTTATATCTTTTGTTAAAAATAATATGATTTATACATTTTAAATATCTTATTTTGCTTGAGAAATATCGTTATTATCGATATTTTCAATATATTTTAAGCATCAATCATTTTTTAAAACTTTACCATTTTGCCCCTTGAATGCATTGATATTATTAAGGCAATATTGTAAAAATATCGAAAATATCGATATTTTTCAAACTTTAATTTAAGGGGTGTATTTTTATTTAGTTTTTAAATGTGAAAAATTTACGTTTAGCTTTGAATCCCTTATGATACCTTGAGAAGTAATGGATTATAGTTGTTGTCAAAGCAAAAAGGCTTAGAAATGTCCTTAACTTTTTCTTTCCCACGACTTTCCATCGACTTTCTCTAATAACCACACCAATATGCTTGAATCTTAGAGCTAATGTCTGGGATTTATTTTTCTTGTGGTTGTGGTGCTGAGTTTACTTGACCGAGGAGCTGGAGGAACTCGATGCCTCCACCGGCTGGCTCTCCAGTTGGGGCGTGGTCTCCACCAAGGCGAGTCCGATGCTCTCGCTTTCACTGTCGCTAACCGCCGCCTCCTCCTCCTCGTCGTCGTCCTCCACGTCGCCCAGCGTGGTTATCTGGCTCTGGACACTGTGGCACTGCTCCAGAATCCTGTGGTGGTTCCTCATCTGGACCTGATCCTCGCCAGCGTCGAGGATGAGTGAGGGTGCCGAGGTGGTGTCCGCTGCGCCGACAACCGTGCTGATAACTCCATTCGGCGAACCCAGGGAGGCGTTTGAGCTGCGCAATCGTTTCATGCCCGTCATGGGCATGAAGGACACATGGTGACCCGATGAATTCGAGGGTCCCGGGGTCAGGGCCTTTAGGCTGGGGGCCAGTGGACTGTTGGCCCCACTTAACGATCCACCTCCGCCCCCCGGCGGCACTGAGGCGATGGTTAAGGTGGACACCGAGTTGGGTCGTCCTCCTCCGCCGCCGCCACCCAAATGCAGCGAACTGGCCGAGGCAGCCGCCACCGGAGGAGCACTGATGGTCACAATGGTCTTGGCCAGCGCACTACTGTTCACCGCGGTGGTGGAGCTGTAGTCGCCGCGCAACTGCATCCCCGAGCTGCGGCGCCTGGATCGATGGTGGTGGCGATGAAAGCTCTGGCATCGCGTGCAGGATCGCTGCGAGGACGAGGGCGTGGCCGTGCCGGAGGAGAGGTGCTGGTGCTGGTGGGCGGATCGGGATCCGCCGCAGTTGCTGCCACCGCTGCAGGTGCTGCAACTGCTCAGCTGTCGTCACATGAGCGTGCGGTCTATCTGGTTCACCGAATGGTAGCCAAAGGAGGTGGAGGCGGCCACCATGGCAGCGGCCACATGGCACTGTTAGAGAGAAAAATATAAAAAAAAATTGGAAATTAAAGAGGAAAATAAAGTATTCAATTAAAAAATCAAAAGAAAAGGGAGAAAAAAGGGAAATATAAAAGTTCAAAAACAAACAAAAATTAAAAAAAAATAAAATTAGAAGATAAAACATTAAAAAACCGAACAGAGAAGGGAACAAAATATATGAAATATGACGAAATTAAATAATTTAAAAAAAAATGGGTTAAATAACAAAAAAAAAATTTTAAAAAAAACGAACAGAAAAAAAATATATAAAATATGGAAAAGAAATAACGGTAAGGAATAATTGGGTTTAAATATTAAAACAACAAAATATATATATCATTTTAATATTTATTAATGTAAAAAAAAAACACAAGCATGAACATTATTATGCGAATAATAAATTTTCAGATGTATTGCCATTCAGTAAAAAAAGGAAAATAAAATAACAAAATTAAGCAAGTCACGAAAAGTAATGAAGAATATTTAATATTGATAAATAAATTATTAAATTCATAACAATAACAATAATAATAGGAATAAGAGTAAAATAGGAAAATACAAGAAAAGCAACAATTGAATTCACAAAACAGAAAGCAGAAAGTGGAGTGAAAAAGTAGAGAGGCGAGAGAAAAGCGTTTAATTAACATTTTGTTGTCTTATTTCGTTTCGAGTGTTTGCATACAATTTGCAGGCAGTGTTTCCGGATAAGTTTTCTTTTCTGTTTTTTTTGGGTGTGAGTGTGGCTGTAAACAAAATTGCCGTTTCAACGCAGCAGCCGCAGCAGCAACAACAAAGCAACAAAGTGAAACGACAACAACAACAATGAACAGCCAGAGCAACAATAAAAACAACAACACCAGGTGTGGGGGCGGGACAACAACAACAATAACAAGAGAGAGAGAGAAAGGGGCGAAAACTGTTGCGGCTCTTGCTGGCAGATTTCCCCTTGATTTTCTTCCATTTTCCCCAGGCTTTTCTTTTTTTGGGGTGCAGTAAAAGTCAAAGCAAAATGCATGATTGAAAGCAACAAAACAATGAACGTGGGTGAAAAACTAGGAAAAGAGCAACAACAATCAGCCATCACAACAACAAAAAGTGTGGGGAAAATAGGAAAAGAAAAGAAAAGCGGTAGCTGAAATTCCAATTTCTGGTTTTCGGAGAATTTTCAGATTCGTTTTTTTTTGAGGGGGCAAAGAATAATAACAGTAACAACAACATTAACCAAACTTGTGAGTGTGAGTGTGCGTATATGTGTGTGTGTTTTTGGGAAAATTCCAAGGGCTCATATAGACTTTTCCGTATTTGGTATCTCCTGCTCCTAACCTGATTTCACATTCTCCTCCTCCCAAAAACCCATCATCATCTTTGGTTTGGCCAATTCAATTACGGGCTTACAGACGCCTCCTTCAGGTCGTATAAAATTCTAAAATCCCTCACCCATTTGCGTACAATTTGCATTGCGTATACGCCGAGTGGTCTGCTGCTGCCCTTTAGAGGGCGGCCGCAATTAGCTTAAATAATTGAAGAGCCAGACCGAATGGCCCGCTTAGCAGACGCCCTCCAGGCAACTGGGTAATTTGCAATTTTTATAGCCCCCCGGCAATCCCGAGAAAAAAAACAGCAGGGATGGGAAAGTCGAGGACTGGCCAAATAATCACCACTGCCAATTTTGGTTTTAAACATTATAATATGGGTATCTCAATGTTTTTATCTGACAGTAAACACATTACATCTTAAGTCTTGATAACTGATAACTAAATGTTTATTTACTTTAAAAAATAACTTAGTTTCTGTGCCTTAACATTCTGTTTTTTGGCTTACACAGTTGAAAGTTCTTTCAAATGAAGTTAAAAATAAGTAATACCTCTTGAGCTCGTGATTTTATTTCCAATCAATAAAATTCAAGCAAATTTAATTTAAGCCATATTTTGCAATAAATGCTTCATTTAATTTATTTATTTTAAATTTTGATATTATTATGTTTCAGCCAAAAAAAGCAATAACTTTAAAACACGTTAAATTAAAATTAAACAAATTCCAAAAAAACTTACAAACTTGAGAACTGAAATTAAAGTAATAAAATAAAATAAATACCACCTAGTTTTCACTTTGTCTCAAGAACTTGCCTGAGTTTCCTTTTTTAAATATTTCCTTTTTCTGTGTCCTCTCATAAACCGCGTTATCTTGACCTATTAAAGCCTTAAGTATTTTTATCATAACATTTTAGTGACTCATATTTCTGCCCAGGGGCTTGTCACCGAAACAAAAAAAGAGCCTTTCGTGTGCTTCTTTCCGCCAAGAGGTCAATGGCACCGTGAAGTTTCGAGTTCCAAGTGGGCTGCTTTTTCTTTTTTCGCGCACGAACTTGTCGCGACCACGCCTCTTTTGGTAATTTATTGCCTAGCACTCAATAAACCTCTTCGAGAGGTCCTGGGACCCTGACTTGGGTCGACCTCAAAGTTTCGCCATAGGCTAAGCTTCTGGGACACCCTAACTGGCCGGCTTAATCGGCGACCTTGCCGGTTGACAGTCACCAAATGCCTGATTGCCAGGATTGCCCCCCTCTATTTTGGATCCTGCGAAAGGACATTAAAAGTTACACGACTGCCTACACGAATTCCCACGGACTGGAACTCGGACTTCCGCTCCAGCGGCTCTGTCACATAATTATAAACGTTAATTTCACGTTCACAGTCAATTAGGGATAATTGATGTTTGCGCAACATTTGTGGTAAATTACATTTTGATGTTCGTCCTGCCCGAGAAATGAGCCATTATCGACTCTATGTATTAGGCACAAATATATATATTTCCCTGATTATTGTTCCATTTAGTTCGCATCAGTTCGTTCCGGTGTTTCGCTGGCATGAAATCAGTTTGATTAATCGCTTAAACAATTTTGCTTTCGAATTCAATTTAGCCTTAGCACAAAGACTCGTCCAATAATTGATGCAATTAGCAGCGATTATGGCAGCAGCATTTATAGCATTTATAGCAGTAGCAGAAATTAGCAGCCACAAGGAGCAAAATAGTAGGTATATTTATTAGGGTTTGATTAAAGTACATGCTATTTTCCTTGCAGTTTTGCAGCTATTCAAAGGCCCCGAATCGAAGCAGCTCCGAAGTGGGCGTTGGCCTCCGGCTGGCCAGTGGCTTCCTCTGCAAACAGTCAGAATCACAAATTCCTGGCTTACAAGCTCACCAATTTATGCTAAACAGCCGCAGCTGCGTGTGTGTGTGTCTGCAGGATTTGCGGGCGAGTGCGCTTGGTCTGAGTAGCTGGCATTTTCAATCAAAACATCTTGTTGCGTTCAGGTGCACAGGGGAAAAATTAGCAATTCATTGGACTTTCATATCATTTTGAAAATATTTTGTATGATTTCTAATCAAATTCAATAACTCAAAATAATTAGAAATTGTATAAAAATACGTTTAAATGTTTAATATATTTTAATATATTCTGCACTAAATATTTTTTATTCTTAACCAAATTATATATTTTAAAATAATTAAATTGGGCACCCAATGCTGTAAAGAAAATTTACTACTATTATTCTGTATAAAATATTTTAAAAATGTATTAATTTATGATATCAATATTTAAAGTTTTGTATCATTTCCCTCAAATTTAAATGTAATCAGGGTTTCCCCCTGCTACATGTACCCTAATTTTATGACATTTTAAAATGTCGCAGTGATATGCCATAAATAGAATCATTTTTCGATATGTTAAGTACCGAATGATTGACCTTTTTGCGATTTTTCCCCATGTGCACACGCATACTAAAGATGCCAGTCGAAATGGTATGCAAATTGGCCCTGGCAGGCAGAATGCGTATGTATATATGTATGGGTTGCGGACTGTGGGTGGGGATAGGGATGGGCATGGAATCCTTTACGGCTCATTAGGACACCGAGTGGGCGGACACAAATGTCAGGCGGCGGCCCACAGACGACGACAGTGGGCGATTAATCAGTGTGTTGAGTGTGCATGTGAAAGTGTTTGTGTGTATGGGGTGGCATTAAAGTTGAATGAAACTCCTGTGAAGTTAATTTTTAAGTGTCGAAAAGGGACGAGTGTCCCACTGGCACACAGACAGCTGCAACTTGCGGCTGACCGCAATGTGCTTGAGGTGGCACAAAGATGGCCAACAGTTCGAGGGCGGAAATCGGGTCATTTGGGCCAGGGACCTAACCACACGTCTGCAATATCCTCATTGACCGAAGCCCATTTCCATTTGCCGTAGAGCAGGCAGACCAGGCAAATTGCGGCTGCCGGAAGTCGCCTCATTTGTCGCCTGCCAGAAGGGCAGGGTCCTTCCTGAGCAAAGGATTTGCAATAAATTAGGCAAATGGCAAACAGTTAGCAGTGCGACTTCCTAGTGATTTTTATTTTGTTTTGAAAAGGTCGATAAATAAAAAACACAATAAACCCTTAAAACTTACAAATTTAATTTATAATATTTATCAAATGTTTTTTGTTCAACGGATCGTATACGTAATAATCACTTTTCTTTCCTTTAATTCTGTGTGACTATATTTGATTAATTTTTATCTATTCTATAATAATTGTTATAACTAAATAATAAACATAGTAAACCGTTAAAACCTACAATTATAATAAGAATAAAACTCCTTGGTTTCCACTCAAACTTTAATATATTTCAATGGTTCGTAAAAGTAACATTCTCTTTACTTGATTTTCTTTCCCTTAAATTCTGTCTGACCATTTTTCAGATTTCCCTTGCGAGCCATAAAGTCATTTTAACCCGCTTTTAGTTAAATTAAAGATTTTTGAAATGACTTTCTTTTAGATTAAGTGTTTTCTTGTTGATTTATATTGGCCATAAAGTTGGCTGGCAAAGCGCTTTACAACTGACACAACAAAACTAATAAACTTTATCCTTTGACAATCCATTTACCTTTTTTGTTGTTGCTGTGAAAACCCCAAAGCCTTAAATCCTGTAATGTTTTATTAAGGATTCGAACAATGCCTGCATTTTATTCAAGTAACCTTTTAAGTGAACCTGAATTAAGTTTGAATGATTCGAGTATGGACTCAGTCGTGCTCGAAACTTCACATCCGCGTTCTGCGAATGCCGCTTTCAATTGGCTGTGGAAACACTTGGCAAATAAATTGGCATGCTCTTGGGTGTAATTGATATGATGACAGACACATATCGCAAAAGAAAAACCCCAAAATCCTAAAGGAGCGGATACGGAAAAGGCACGAGAGCACATCCACACATCCGCATCCTTAAAACCCACACACATACGCAAGAGACCACCAAGGCCAGACACATATTGACTGTTGATTGCTGTAAATAACATTTTCATCAATACAATTACATGTGGTATGTGCGAATGTGCGGGTACGCTTATGTGTGTACGCTTATCGGCGAGCAGGCGAAAATTGAGTTGGAAATTTTTAAGTGCAAAAAATGTTTATGGTTCACTTGATAACATTTCTCAAGTATCGAATGTGCGTGACTCCTTTGTGGGGATTCTTTTTTTCGTTTGGGTTTTGGTTGAGAACTAGGGCTCAGATGGCATGAAGGGAAGGTCAAAAAGGCCGGCAAAGTATAAATTTAAAAATAATAAACATCGAACTAAAAATGAGGACCCTTCCTCCTCGGCCATAAAACACACAGAAAAGCCGACTTAAAATTTACACATTTTTTATGACCAACTAAAAGAGTATAAAATAAGTATATCTTGTGTTTGAACATTTTAAAAAAAAATTTTAAATTCTATGTAACTATTTTGACTCGGAAATTTATATAAAGTTTTCTTAAGGCCTCTTTTTAAATTTAGTTTAACAAAAATAATAACATTATAAAAAATGAAACCTTTTCATTTATTCATTTTACTTTATACCTTTTAATTCCTTTACATTTCTTCCCTAAATGTCTTCAAGCAGCTTTAAAAAAAACTTCCTAGCCTTGACACCCAAGTGTCCGTTTCTATTAAAGCCGATCCAGTCTATATTTAGGCCTTTTCATCTGCTTTCCTCAATCATATACACCGTTTTTCCTCTGCCAAAAGCGAGTATAAAAAGATCAACAAACACTTTATGAGAGAGCGGGGCTTGTGTTTCGGTTTTTCCTTGTTTCGTCATTGTGTACACTGGGAAAATCTTTTGTGAGTGGCGACAGCAAGAGTAACAACAACATCGACAACAGGAGCAAGAAGAACATGGAGAGCAAAAACAGCAACGGAAACGGTGACAAAAACGATGAAAGGACATTGTGTCCTGCAAGTGTGTGTGCGTGTGAGTGTGTGTGAACGGAGACTTTGTGGAAACTTTCGATTTTCTTTTTTCTTTGTTTGTGCTCTTTTCATTTTTTTAAATTCAGCTTGTCTGCCACAACATACAAAAAACAACATCATCAAACGGAGAAGGACTCAGGTGTTGGTGCCCAGGGACTCTTTTTTTTTTGCGTGGGTGGACATCTTTGTTAGTGTCTCAGTGTGCGTGTGCTCTTGAGTGTGTGTGTGTCGGTGTACAGGTGCAACACATTCAACAGGTGCTTGAATCAGAGACTGTTTTCGCTTCGTGTTCTTTTGCAGCAAAGTAAGCAAGCCAAGAAAACATACATAAGGGGGTGTTCCAGAAAACTCAAGAGATTTTAAAAATTGAGATTTTGGAAGCGAAATGCATTTGAAAAATTTGAAGTATAAGTTTTAAGGCTCTAAAATATTTTTTTTATTCTTATATTTTAAAAACCTATTGCATTTTTTTTTATTTCAAAAAAATGCCTACAAGTTCCGTTGTTTTAAAGCAATAATTAAATTTTTTAAAACATTAGTTGCAATTTGAATTTCATTTTTAATATGTATTTAACATTTTTCTTTTAAATTTTGTAACGTTATTTTTTTTTTACAATTTTGAAAAATTTAATCTTTTAATTTACAGGGCTAATGTATTTTTTTAATTCAAATTTTTCATAGCATACTTTTTAGCACCCAAAAGCCCGTATAAAATCTTCTGAGATTTCGAGAACACACCGGAAAGAAACGGAAATAAGGACACAAACAGCAATGCCATGGCCGAGTCAACAAACAGGAGTGAGTGCGAGTGAGACAGCGCAGTCACAGACAGAGATGGCAACAGCAAACGGCGACAGTGAGAGATGCAGAATCCGAGAAACGGAGACGGGATGCTTGTGTTAATCTCCCAGTTCTTTATGCGGGTGCCTTTGAAAGGACAACAGGACACACACACATAACACACAGACAGAGAGAGTGAGAGAAAGTCAGAGGACACAGACAAGTCGCTTACCTTGCCATTGACTTACAGACAAACGGGGCGGCGCTAAGGGGGCGTTAATCATTGTCAACTAAATCTACGCTAAACTATATGTAAGTCTGCTCGCAGGAGTTGTGTCGCACGTGCTGAATGCCGTGCAGCGAGCAGGTCGAGTAGCAGCGCCTCGTCGCGAATCTCTGCAAAATCAAGAACGCCGCCGGAATCACAATCAGCTTCAGCTCGATTCGCCAGACAGGGCGATACTATATATGTATAGGATATATGGGGTGTATGATATGGGGGGCTGGGGCCCGAGGGGAACAACGTAATGACTTTAATGCCGCGATGACAGGAGCTATTTTTGGGGACAGGCCTCTGTTTTCCCCGAACTGACACTTTAAGGGCCGGTTTCTCGAGTGCCGGCTAACATTTATCGAACAGATAAAGTCCCTGCTAAGGCATTTCGGCTTTCTCGAGCATAAATGTGAGAGCTAACTTTGACAGGGACTCGGAGTCCCTGTTAAGCGTTTTCGGCTCGATAGAATGACAGCTGATTTCCCAAAGCCAACTATGAAGAAGAAACGAAATCACAGCTGACTTTACCTTTGAATTATACCCAAACAGCTGATGAAATAATCGAAGCAAGCCATTATTTGCGCTTCACAGCACAATTCTGTGCGTTAACAGCACTCTGTAATTGTTTCTCGTTCAGATAAATTAAAGTAGTCGAGAAAGCGGATTTGCTTTTACGAACAGTTTATCTGGTATTTAAGTTTTTCGAACAGATAGCTATCAGGGACTTTGACAGGGACTCGAGAAACCGGCCCTAAGTGTTTTTGATAGGTTCCAAACTTACTTGCCATACAGTCGACTTTTAAAACTTTATGATAAAAAATATTTCACTTTGAAAATAAAGCATTTTCAAAAATCTCTATATGTCTAAATGATTTTTATTCTTAGAGGCAAACGAAATGAAAGTGTTGTTCTTTAAAATATTATTATTAAGATTATTATTCATACGCCATGTTGCCTCAAGCATAATATTGCTAAGTTATGCTTAATAACTTCTAAATTATTTAATTCTTAAATGTAAAAATGTATTAAAAATATTAATAAATAAATATTGTTATCAAAGATAACATTGCTTATTTCTGCTTAATAACTTCTAAATTATTTTATTCTTGACTGTAAAAATTCTACGTTACCATAATGCAACGAACTACCTTTTAGCTATTAATAAATTTCTCTAATTTATTTGCCTAAAACTTATGCCAAAGTTCAGACAAGTTTGACTGTAGTCCCGAAGCCAACACGTGACTTCGGGGTAATTACTTAGAGACCCCAATTGTCGGTAAGTCCCTGGGAGAACGACAATGGATCTTAACGGCAAACACTGGGTGCAACCCTCGACAACCCCGCTCAGGTGCAGCCAGAGTTGCCAAACATTAGGAAATTATTCATTAAAATCACGCAGAGGGTCGAGGGTCGACAGGTTGAGTGATGCGCTCCCCCCAGATGATTTATGCAGGGATTCCTAAATGCGAGGATGTCAGTGGGTGAGAATGAATCCGCAGCGGATGTCAGGAAGTTTTCATGTGTGAAGGGGGACGTCGCGGGGGCAAATGTCAGTTTTTTAGCATATTCATTAAATTTGTAAATTAATTTTGCCGTTCGTTGAGTTTCGTTTTTGGAGCGCACAAAAGTGGAGACGGCACGGGCAGCACGTAATTCATGAAGGCGATTTCCATCAACCGGTTTTTGTTTGCCCCGCGCCAAAAGAGTGGATGCAACAACAACTCGGGCGAGAGGAAAATGCGGAAAATTGCCAAGTTTCCAGTTCGTAAAAACGAGAAAGAGAATCAAATCGAATCGCCTGGCGGGAGTCTGAAGATCTGGAGGAAATGGGCACGGGGCACTCACCTGCGACTTGGAACGCATCGTGGGCTGGTACTTCCTGCGAATCTTCCGAGGACAGCACATGCACAGCAGACGCACAAAGGCCCTGTAATAAAAAAGGAGGAGAAGCCAGTTGGGGTTAAGGAAGGGGGCTGCAAAGGGTTCAGCTCGGCATTCAAAAGCCACAAAAAAACAGAGGCAAATAAAAATAGCGCAGAGAACGTGTACTTCTAGTGATTTTAAGGGAAGTCCTCGAAAAACTAAACGGAAAATAAATATATTTGTTACACCTTGAAAAAATAAACTTTAACTTAAAGTGCTTAGAAAGATGAGATAAGTTTATAGCCTAAATGAAAATTAAATCTGCAATTACTTTATGTTAGTCAGGAAAAATCCCGACTTTCCTTTTTTTATTGACTGAAGGTTAAAAATATAATTAATGTACATATATTGAAAGGAAATTATGATATGATATGTGGATAAATAAATAAAGATAAATATCGCATTCTAAAGTTTAATTTATCGAAATTACAAATATCGAAAAATATCACAAATAAATAATATATAATATACAAAAAAATAAATAATACATTTAAATAGAGGACAGTATATATTTCAAAATAAAAAGCCTTAAGTAAAGTGGGATGGCTTTTATATGGCTTCTGAATACTTAGCTCTTAGGATCCCCAATCTTCGATCCGATCCAATCCCAACTCACCTGCGGAAGTCCCTGCTCCAGCAGGCGTAGATCACAGGATTCATGCAGGAGTTGATCCAGCCCAGCCAGGTGACGATCGCCGACACGATCTCCTCATGCTCGATGCACTCGATGCAGAAGCCGGACAGCAGATTGACCACGAAAAAGGGCAGCCAGCAGATGATGAACACGCCCATCACGATGCCCAGCGTCTTGGCCGCCTTCTTCTCCTTGGCGAACTTGGCCAGTTTCCGCGACAGCGAGAAGTTCTTGCCCATGTGTCGATGGCGGGCTAATCCATTATTATGCAATGCGGATAGTGGCTCATCATCCGGTTCCTCGGGCGTCGAGGTGGTGGTGCCACCACCATGATTGTGATGATGGTGGTGCGAATGGGAGTGCGAGTGGCTCAGGGAGCCTCCTCCTCCACCACCTCCACCTCCTCCTCCTCCACCCGAAACCTGATTGGCCTGATCGCGAGTGGTGCCACCACGATGTATACGTAATGTCAACTGCAATTCCCCCGAGGCCATCAGCACCTGTTTGGTTCCAATCTTCAGCGATCTCGTCTGTATAACAGCTGCCCTGTAGATGCGACAGTAGGTGAAGACCATCACCAGCAGCGGAAGATAAAATGAGATGGTCGAGGAGAAGACCAGGTAACCCAGATGCTCGGTAAAGGTGCATTTATAGGCGGGCATTTCGCCATCCCTGGCCGCTCGCCACCAAACGATGGCCGGAAAACTGATGGCACTCGAGCAAATCCAAACGGCAGCTATCAGGCCGGCTGCTCTCTTCACAGTCATTCTCATGGGGTAGCTAAACGGATCCGTGATGGCCCAGTAACGATCCAGTGAGATCACACAGAGATTCAGTATAGAGGCGGTACTAAAGAGAACATCCAGGGATCTCCAAATATCACACCAGTCGGTGCCAAAGAACCAGGTGTTTTCCAGCACCTCATATAAAGCGGAGAAGGGCATTACTACCAGACCCACCAGGCAATCGGCCACCGCCAGGCTGGTAATAAAATAGTTAGTGGCCGTGTGGAGGTACCTTTCCCGGATAACGGCCAGGATGACCAGGGAGTTGCCAAAGACGGTGGCAAAGGAAAAGAGAAACAAGAAGGCCAGCAGACCCACTCGATCGTTGGGCAGGGCCTCCAGGAACTCGGAGAGATCGGGTTCGGGGGTGGTAGTACCACTTGTAGCCACTGAAGAAACTGGAGTACTCAGGGTAGTGGTGCTACTGGTGGTGGTGCTGCCATTCAGGATGAGCTCCGTGCTCGTGGGCAAACCATTGAAATAGAAGTAGACGTCCTCGGAGATGTTGTAGCTGCCGAAGAAGGGGGAAGGGGGTAACTGCGTCTGATTGAGTAGCGCCAAAAGCGGCGAGACCACGCCTCCTCCTCCTCCTGCTCCTTCCGCTCCCTCCACTTCCGCCGACGACGACGACCCATTGTCCTCCACCATGGCTCAAACTCAGTGCTGTGTCGCTGCAGCTGACGCAAGTCCCTGTTCCAGTTGCAGTTCCTCTTCCTGTTCCAATTTCCCCGGCAGTTCCTGCTCCTGTGCCTCCTGCTGCCTTTGCTGATTTCCCTCAGACAGTCCGCGGCTGCCGGCCAAATTAATGAAGCGCATTTTCGTGTCCTTGGCCAGGACTCGCTGCCGCCGCCGCCGCCGGGCTGCCAAGCTGTCGACGAAAAGAAAAGTCGGAGAGGCTGGTGAACACAATGCAATCAGGACAAACTTAAGATAAAGTTAGGGTGTAACACTTTTCAACAGAGTTGCCAGGGGATTTTACTTATTTTGTCTAAACAATTTGGCCGATTTATTGGGCACTTTGTAGTGCAGAATAGGAAAAGATTGGAAACAAATCCCAATTCATTGTTTCTTATTTACCTTGTAAATAAGACTAAAATATGTGCTATTTTTCACATTTAAAGATAAATGTTACTGAAGTTAGAAGCCTTTATTTCTGGAAATTGCGCGTAATTAGGGGTATAGATTTGTGTCATTTATAAAAAGTGTTCTAAAAATTTCTTAATATAAAATTTTTTTAAGTTTTGTAAACTGGAAGTTATAGTTACTCAAACAAGTCTGAAGACCAAAAAACGGATCCTCTATAAAAATGATTTCGAATTCATTTAATAAAAAATGTTGTGTCACTTTTAATGTGGAAAAAACCATTAAATAAAAGTGTATCAAATTAATTGTATTTACAATCTCTACATTTTAAAGAGATAAATATAATTTCATTTTAATTATATGTGCTTATATTACCGAGTAACTTTAATACAACATGATATTCTAAAAATTATTTGCCAAGATCAAGTTCTGCTTTTAATACTTCATCAAGTTTAGATGATGTGAGAGGAGCTGCGTTTCTTTTCGGCCAAAACTTTTCGCCATTCTAATGAAGCTATTGTAATTGAATCGCTCTCGGCTCGGGCTATAAATTTCATTCAATTAAAATGTTGACTCTCGCAGCCCGCAGGTAACCGAGTTAAGCAAATTTCCCGCGCACAAAAGCTAAACAAACACATTAATTAGAGGATTTTTTGGGCTGCCTGGCCGGGAAATCAGGAAGAATTGGGGGAGCTCCACCTGCTGCTTTTGGGCCCCAAAAGGTGCGCAATTAATTGGCAAGCAGACACGCCAGATGGAGGAGGATTCTGCCAGGATGGCAAGGAAAGAAAGAGGAGCAGGAGGTCCTGAGGAAGCGAGTGCCACACAAATAAACAAATTAAATTACATTTCGAGTGCCAGGGTTGGCAGGAAGTCAAGCGTGCGACCACTAGGAACTTGAACTCTGGTAGGAGGATGGAAAATCGCTGGTTGGGGGATGACTAAGTGGATGCTGCCTTTGTCAACGGAATTTGACAGAGGAAGTCAACAACTGTGCAGCGCATTATTTAAGAGTCCTGGCTAAAGGAGGAGCAAGGAGCTCGAGAGTCCTGTCGGCGCGAGTTGATTGCTAAGCTTCGTACTTAATGTAAACAGCCTGCGACTGTGTCTCCCAGCTAGGATTGCACCTCAATGCGAAAGTCCTTGCATTAAAGTCCTTGGAGCTTTGCACATCTGTCATTGGCACTCTGCTTTCATTTCCCATTTTGCAGCACCAATTTCGGGTCGGTTTAATCGAAGCGATGAAGATTGAAGCCGAACAACCATGGTCAGTGGATTGGGAATTAGGTGCTGTTGAAGTAGCTGTTTCACTTTCAATGCGAGGCAATCAGTGAATTATACACCTTTTTGCACTTTTTCTCTTTTTCAGCAGGGTTTTCAGTTAATAGGGCATTTAAGCTGCTTCAAAAATAAATATTGTGTCCGTCAATCTGCCTGTCCGTCCGTATGAACGCTTATATCTCTTAAACGCATACATCTTTAAAGATTTCGGAAAGGTGTAAATGCAATTTTTTTGTGTTTATTAATACCTATCAATATGTAGAAGTCATTTTTCAAATCGGACCATTCATTTAAAAGTTATGAGCAAATAATGTAATTTAAGCAGGGCAAGCAGTACAAGCAGTGGCTTTTTTCTATTTTTTCTCTTTTCTCCTAATTATAATTGCCAGCACGTAGGAACTCCTCAAGATTTATTAGACAATGCGACAAGAAAAGTCCAATTATATTAAGTTTAAGTCCTGGAATCATCAAAATATCCCTAACCTTTACCTGGTGACGAAGCACAATTATGTTCAAATTAGTTGGCTCATTTTTTGGGTCTTAATTTGCGTCTTTAAAAACATGGCCTAATTCACGGATTTGTGCGCCTTTCAGGCGTTCTACAGTATATCATTTGTAACTTAGTTACGTTTCGTCTGTTGTTCCCGATTATCACCTGTCATCATCAGGCGGGGAGTGTAAACTGGATATGGTCTGCAGCCAATCGAGCGGAGAAGGACGAAGGACTCGTGCTTGTGCCTCGTGCTGCCTCAACATCCTGGCTGCTCATTTCCGGGTCGCGTATGCCATAAATTCAACTGCCTGCTGTTGTTGGCTTATCTCGACCCCCGAACTCCCGAACCCCCTCTATAAACAGGGTCCAGAACAGAACAGCACCGAATCCAAACTTGAGCCCAACCTGACACGTTTATGGTTTATGTTTTCTTTAGCCACATTGCAGAAAACGGCTGAAACAGCAGAGGCACCGTCTTCTCCGTGTTTTTTGCTTAGCTGCTTAGCACAATTTCCTGGCACATTTCTCACTCGCTCACTGGCTAAAAAAGCAAACATTTTTTTCACTTACTCGCCCGCCTGATGAGGCTGTTGATGTGCAGTAAGTCAAAATGCGAGCACGGGAGTTGGCCAGGGAGCTGGCATAAAAACAGGGCAACCAAATGAGAAACACGAAAATATGTGTGCACTAGGAGAAAAGTGCTGAACAAGTTTTTTTCATTTAAAAAACAGGCTTTGTTGAGTAAAAAATAATTAAAATTAAATATATTTACAGCCATTGAAACCAATAATTCGTATTTTATCTATAAAATTGCATCTATAAAATTTAGTAATCAAACTATCAGATACCCGTTACTCAGCTTAAAAAGTGCGAGGGAGACATGCAAGCAGCAAAGCGACTGCTTGCACTGCTTGCATTTACATTTTCCCAAATTTGCTTTTAACTTTGTAATGGATGGTCCGATTTTTAAATTTTTTGTCACAATTCGATACGTTTTAATAAACACAACAAAATGACGTTCACAGCTTAACAATTGTGAAGATGTAAGATTCAGGCTTATTTGAAGGTTTACCCTTTCACTCCAACCAATATTTTCTTTAAAAACCATATCTTTTGGAAACCCTTTTTTTTTTCTGCGTGTAGCCGAAATTCATATGAACAAGTGGGCGGTGCCCTGCAGCTTTCTGGTGTTTTCTCCCTTTATTTTTTAGGTCTGGGCCGAGAAATTTAATTGAGGCAACCTTTAAGGTTGCTGCTGCTAAAAGCTGGCCAAAACCGAACCAAAGCTGGCCGAAAGCCAAGTCTGGCTTCTATGCAAAATGCTTTCGACCAGGCCAGCAATTTGTATATGTGTGAAAAACCTTTTGACCCTTTTCAGTTGGCCCTTTTCAGTTGTGCGTTGTGTGCGTGCGTGTGTTTTGGCTGGGAAAAGGCAGCGGGATGGAAATGGTTAAGTCATTGAATGGCCTCATGAAAGTTAAGCAAATGCCTGTTTCGCATTTATATGCGGGTATAGCCACATTGGCGAGGAGTTGGCAACAAGAGAGAGATTTCCAGGAAAAGCGGTCGCGAGAATCGTGCCCAGCATGATGGCGAAAATTCATTTAGTTGTTAATTTCAACATGAATTTCATAAGCTCCCCGAGCAGAGTATTTCAATTTCGAGGACTCCAGAGACCTTCTTCCAAAAATAAATTTACTGCAATGGCGTTTCGTCTACACAATTGAAATTGATTCTGCAGCATCGAATCACGCCAAATCACAACATAACATTTTAGATTCAACCACAGAGCAACGAAGCTCTGATTCTCATGGCCAAATGGCCGAATGTTTGGCATGGCATGTATCTCTGTTTCTCTCTGTCACAGCTGCAATAACAGTCTTTGAATTTAAATTGAAGTCAAGAAGACCTCGAATGGGCAATCGCTGTTCGCTAGACATTCAATAAAGTGCCAGCCGACGGCCATTTGTTGAATTTTTATGCGATCCGTAATTATATGAAGCGATTTTCCATGTCGCATTGTTGCCTATTGAATTATTAAAACTTGCGAGACGAGTGGATGTGTTTATTGAAATTGCCAGCCAACTGGCACCCAAAAAGGGAAATGGAAAAGTGGGCTGGCTGGAAAAGCTACAGTCCAACTTCTCGGCCCTGAACTTTGGCAAATTGAATTTTTGTGAAGCTCGAATACTTTTTTGTTTCGCACCTACAGCTAATTAAATTTTTTACTAAAATAAGTTTCAAGTTTTTTATTTAAATTGTATGGAAGGGATCTAATATTGTATTTTAATTTGACAAACTATAAAATTTAATTTAAAATTTAAATTCAAATTAAATTTTTGTGGAGCTCGAAGACTTTTTTTGCTACGCATTAAATTTTGTACTTAATTTATGTTTTATATATATTTTATATTTTTTAAAAATTTATGGGACTTTAAAATTTAAAAAAAACCATAAAATTTAAATTTTTTTTTTGATTTTTTAAGATATTTTAAATTTTGTGGAAATTTCGTTTTTAATTTTATTTAATTTAAGAAACGATAAAATTTAAATTAAATTACACTTTCCTGCAGTATTTTATCCACCCAACAAGAAGTTGGCCTGTATTTCCGGTGGGTTCATTGAGCTGCCCCCCTAAGTAGGCAACACATTTTTTACGGCCCCACGAAGCACTCCCCTGATGTCAAGTAATATGCCCGACTTTGAGTGCCACGCCCCCTTTCCCCCGCACTTAGGAAAAAAGAAGGCCTAATGCCAGAATTTATTAGTGCCGCTGCCATTGTTGTTCATGTCGATAAGAGGAGCCCGTCGAGAAGCAATGACATGTGCATATAATGTAGGTGTAGGTCTAGGGATCCCCACATCCCTACATCCATTAATTCCGTGCACTATCGCTGAATTGGAATCGCATGGCGGATAGACGAGCAAAGCCCCGGTGACATTGAAC